TCATGTGGCCGGCATGACTCAATGCCAAAGGTGCTTGGAACGCTGTTCCCTTCCCACCAAAGGTGGTCCCTATTTTTCTACTTACATTTTTTACAGGCTTTCAAAAAGAAAGAAGGAAGGAAGGAAGGAAGGAAGAAAGAAAGAAAGAAAGAAAAGGAGGGAGGGAGAGGGGCAGGGAAGCAGGGATGAAGGGACCAGGAATCTATTTATTTCTTTAAATATCCATTTGATGTTTAAAGGTAAAGGTAAAGTTTCCCCTCGCACACATTTGCTAGTCGTTCCTGACTCTAGGGGGCGGTGCTCATCTCCATTTCAAAGCCGAAGAGCCAGCGCTGCCTGAAGATATCTCTGTAGTCATGTGGCCGGCATGACTCAACACCGAAGGCGCACGGAACGCTGTTCCCTTCCCACCAAAGGTGGTCCCTATTTTTCTACTTGCATTTTTTCACGTGCTTTCGAACTGCTAGGTTGGCAGAAGCTGGGACGAGTCACGGGAGCTCACTCCGTTACGCGGCGCTAGGGATTCGAGCCGCCTTCAACTAAGCTATGCTGGGGAATTCTCAGGAATTGAAGTCCACAAGTCTTAAAGTTCCCAAGTTTGGACACCCCTGATATGGGGTCTATGTTTTATGGCAGACTTCCTGGTTGAAGTGGCCCTTCCCAGTCTATGATTTCACTCAGATTTCTTTTGTTAATGGATAAATTTTGGACGCTTCTCGTTTGTGGAATCCTTCCCTTCCAACCAAACCCACGTTTGAACACCCACACAAAGTTGACTTTCGATCAGATCCACTTGGGCAATTGTGTAACCTCTACCGATAAGAAGAGGGCGCTAATTTTGTGCGTCTGCAGCCTCTCTCCCCACAAAAGTTTAGCCTTTGAATAAAATGTCAATTTAGCCCCCATTTATGGGCCTTTGCATTAGCCGCAAATGGAAGCACTTCAAAATGTGCCGACGTAGCTACCGGATAGCTGAGAGAAATAATATATTTTTTTTATTTAAAAAAAAAAAACTTTTCACATTTCATTAGTGCTTCTAAATGGAAATAGCCTGCTCTTGAAATTTGCTATTTATTCAGTCGAGTCATAAATGTTTTACGATTAGCAGTTGGACTCAAGATGATTAAGCCCCAATGATTCATTCAATCCAAGCTTTCTCCTCGGCCAGATGTATCTAAGCACGGAGGGTGGATTCAGGAAGAGACCGATACTCATGAATTCAGAACCAGGAAGATACCGTAATGGTTCCCATTTGGAACCCAGAACGAAGGGAGAGTACTAGGGGGGAAAAAACCTTAAAATTAAAGGTCCTGGATTGAGCTCAATTTCATGAGGATAGGATTGGATAGGACAGGAGATAGGATAGGATGAGTGGGGTGNAAAAAAAGCGTGCCTTTTAAAAAGGTGGGCGGGACGCGGGAAAATGCATTGGAAAGCGGGTGTGTCCCGCCAAAAGCGGGACGTCTGGTCACCTTATCCAGGCTTCCTTATTGGGTCATATTTAGAAAGTGAAAATGGGATACAGCTGTTTTACTTATGAGATTTATCTAAGGTATTTGAGGGGGGGGGGATTTCCAACTTAAAACTGTAGTCCAATTAGGCCACCAATTCAAACTTTTTGTCCAGTCCAGGAATCCAAATTAAGACATTGCAGACGTATGTTTGTCTAACATTGACTTGAGAACACACCCAGTACAGTTACGGACATTTAAAACATTGGGAACAGAATGGAGCACATGGAATCCTGCACTCCATTTTCTTTCAGATTCACTTGTATTAATAGTCTTAGAGTCTCTGGCCCTGGCCCTACTTGGTAAAATGAATAAACACAGGCCATTGATAATGAGTTCACCATGTTTTATAGGTGTAAAAGTAACACTAAAGAGAATCCCATTGTATTAAAAGTCTAAAACAATATTGCAAAACTGCCTCCTTGGATCCCTCAATACAATAACACTAGATTGTTGTTGTCGTTGCTATATTAAAATATGTTAATTTGTGCATTGAAAGCAGATAGAAATATTTTCCCCACCATGAAAGAAACAAGACAAAGATCATTTTCACCACATGCATGTTTAATATGATGGGACTTATTGCAGTATATCAGATTGGTGAGGAATTTAAATGAGAATTAGACCCATTCATAAAACCTGCCAGGAGTGTCTGTTTCTTCCCCATAAGAGGTGGTTTATCTCTGACGAAGCTGTCTGGTAGGTATGACTATGGGGTTGGAACAGCTCTTCTCAAGACATCTTTGGTCCCATTGGTCTCCTATTTATGAAAATGGCAAAAACATATTTCTTTCATTAAACTTTTGACTTAATTATTGCACTGATACTGATTCTGAATTAGATTTTAAATCTATTCATTTTACTGTTGTGTTTTACATTTTGTGTGTTCGTTGGTTTTGTTATTAACTTGGTTGACTAAAAATACAGGACAGAAAAATACAGAAAAAAACATGGGCACTCAACGGTGATACCTAAATGTGAGAAAGGTAGAGAGGTTTATTCTTAGCTGATTACTCCTTATATGAAATAGCACATTTCTAATTGCAGCATAATAATTTCCACAGAGAGCCAATTTTATAATTCGTGTTTAAAAAAAACATTTCAGCTTCTAAAATCATAAAATTTTTAACGTATGTATATACCATGCTTCTACCATGACACTTGTATAAAGGAAGAGCAGTTCAACTGCATAGTGAGTAATGAGACACCAGCTTCATTAAAATATTATTCTAATTAATTATGCAAAATGTAGGCTTTCTGTAAAGCCTTGTCACTGAAGATCATCAGTTTCATTGTTGCCCTGCTGTAATTTTTTTTACTTTTAATTATAGCAGTGTAGATTTTTACAACATATAGTCAAATGATCTGCAAAATATGACATTTTAAGCAAATGTTCACCATGATATAGTTCTAGTATCACAGAGATGAAATTGACCTCATATCATCTAGTCTTAACTCTCTATTCATTGCCGATCTACTAAAACATTTTAGATACATGACTTTCCTTTGTATTGAGAACAGCTCATGGTTGATTTCTAGACAATTGTTAGAAAGTAGAGGGACAATACCCTACTGGCAAAATCCAGAGTCACTACAGGCATCAAATCACCATTTGAGAAATTTTCTACCAAATGTGATATAATCCAAATCAATTATTCTGCCAGAACACCAGAGAGGCATCTAGTGTACGTTGTTAAAGTGAAACATTCTATGTGATCATGTACTTTTCTGCTTACCATTTTGTGATATTTGTTGCAGGAGTGATCCGCGAGAGTTATCTCAAGGGGCATGATCAGTTGGTGCCTGTCACCCTTCTGGCTATAGCAGTCATTCTTGCCTTTGTCATGGGAGCCGTCTTCTCGGGGATCATAGTGTACTGCATCTGTGACCATCGGCGTCGAGATGTGACCATTGTGCAGAGGAAGGAGAAGGAGCTGGTCCAATCTCGTCGAGGTTCAATGAACAGTGTTACTAAGCTCAGTGGTCTCTTTGGAGACAGTCAGTCCAAAGAGCCAAAGCCTGAAGCCATTCTCACCCCTCTCATGCACAACGGTAAGCTTGCTACTCCAGGAAGCACAGCCAAGATGCTCATCAAAGCTGACCAACATCATCTGGACTTGGCTGCTCTGCCTACTCCAGAGTCCACCCCAACACTTCAGCAGAAGAGGAAGCCAAGCCGTGGCAGCAGAGACTGGGAGAGAAACCAGAATCTCATCAATGCCTGCACAAAAGATATTCCCCCCATGGTGTCACCTGTGATTCCCACAGACCTTCCTCTCAGGGCTTCTCCCAGTCACATCCCAAGTGTTGTAGTCCTACCTATTTCTCAGCAAAGCTATCAGCATGAATATGTTGATCAGCCTAAAATGAGTGATGTGGCACAGATGGCCATGGAGGACCAAAATGCTACTCTTGAGTACAAAACCATAAAAGAGCATCTCAGTGGCAAAAGCCCAAATCATGGGGTGAATCTTGTGGAAAACCTGGATAGCATGCCACCAAAAGTCCCCCAGAGGGAAGCTTCTCTTGGTCCCCCTGGGTCCTCTCTTGCTCAGAGCAGTCTAGGGAAGCGATTGGAGATGCATTCTTCTGCTTATAATGTGGACTACAAGAGAAACTACCCTACGAACTCGCTTACGAGAAATCACCAAACATCAACACTCAAAAGAAATAACACTAATTCTTCTAATTCCTCCCACCTTTCAAGAAATCAGAGTTTTGGCAGGGGAGACAATCCTCCTCCTGCCCCACAAAGAGTGGACTCCATACAGGTCCATGCTGCTCAGGGTCAGACTGTGACTGTTTCTAGGCAGCCCAGTCTCACCACATACAACTCGCTGACAAGATCAGGGTTGAAACGCACACCATCATTAAAACCAGATGTACCCCCCAAGCCCTCATTTTCCCCTCTTTCAGCATCCATGAAGTCTAATGATGCATGTTCATAATCACCGTGGGGTGGGGGGGGACAGCTGTGGATCATGGAATAACCTTAAAAACCAGGATTCAGCAATAGCAATGCTAGTTTCAACTGACCAAGAAACTGCAAAGCTGAAGGACGTTCTGCTCTGGGGAAAAGTAGAATGTTTTTTTAAGGAATTGGGCCATACAGTCTATGGTTTGCAACTGTAGGACCCACCCCACAATACAACAGCTCTTCACTCAAAAGACTAACTGCAAACATTGAGCCAAAAGCACACACACGAAAGATGACTGTGATCCTTCACTTTTAACTGCACAGAGCATCCTAGAACTGGGAAATGAGTGCTTTGAAAGCAAAAATGCCCTGAGAAAGGAACAACTCACAAGAGGAACCCATTGTTTAAGCTAACTCTTACTGAACCATGACAGACTCTTACTATATGCAGGTACTGTGAAAGCCCATCAGTGTTACAGCCTTTTGATTATACCAGATTTGCCATGTTGGGCAAGAACAACTCTGTCATAGGTTATTGCTACTCTTCTCTCTTAATGAATAACATGTGACTGTTAACGCAAGTAACTATGATTATTTATTGTTCATCTTTTTTGTCTTTTTTTAAATCCTAAAGAAATTACTTATGCCTACCATCATATGAGCAACTCTTTCCAGAAGGAAAAACAAAATACGTTGAAAATTATGCCTATTTAACGTGAAACCCCCATTAACTAGAGTAATTAAAACTCTTTTTATTTTTCCAATAAATTCACTGAGTTAAATAAGTTGGAGATGGAATTCCGAACTTTTGTGTTTGAACTCTCTGATCTCTTTCTGGAAGACAAACTAGAGGGAAATGCTTACTTCAGTGTCGGTCCATTCTGCAGGCTGGCTTCCAGCTTTTAAGGTCAGGTTGCAAACCAAGGAAGAAACCTCCCACTACATCATTTTTCCCTAAAGTTCCTTCCTTCCTAAAGTACTAATGTCTTACAAAATAAATTCTTTGAACACTCCCCTTCCATGCCCCATTGCCATGAACACAGTTTTTGTCAGTAGTTGATCCTTTCTGTGAAGTCACCCACTCGATTTCTGCCATCTCATTTCATCCTTGCATGTGAGATGACAAGCTGACAAAGAAAAACGCACAGTGCAAATTCATCCACACACTGGTTTCTTCCAGCATATTTTTCAGTTTTACCACACAGAGTTTGTTTTGATGGCAATACATCTGGTTTTTTTTCCCACATGTAAATTTGTGCCTTACACCTTCAGTTGTGTATATTTGTGAGCTGTAGTATGTACAATCGTTCCCCTTTCCTTAGAATAAATCAGATATTTATTCGTCTCTCCCTTTCCTTATTCCCCTAGAATAGGGATCTCCAAACTTGGCAACTTTAAGACTTAGACTTCAGCTCCCAGAATTCCTCAGTTAGCCATGCTGAGAGTTGAAGTCCATAAGTCTTAAAGTTTCCAAGTATGGAGAGCCCTGCCCTAAAGAACTGGAAGATGCAAAGTTTTATGTTTCAGTTTGCAGAATGAACAGCCTGTCTGAATCCAAGAAGGCAAGAGGCAGCAATATCTGTTGTTTGGGTATGACTCCTAATCATGCTCATTTTGGCCTTTGTATTACTTTTGTGTATTTTGGCAGTTTAGATACTGTTTTGTGACAGCATATCCATCTACCTGGATATTTTTTCAATGTGGAAATGTATCCTTTCTCATTGCCAGCAGTGTAATGTATCATCAAAGTCAAGCACTGTGTACTGTTGCAAAACAATCCAGGCCTAAGGTTGTGTAGCCTATTGAATAAAATGGAAATAAATGTAAAGCAGGCTGGTTCCTGCTGGTTCTCAATAGGAAAGCAAACCCAGATAATTCTTACAATTTACAAAAGTAAGAGACAAATCCAACTCTTCTTTGTATGGATGGGTGGGGAAAACGGGAAGAGCCTGTGCAGGAACGTATGGTTTGACAAAGTCTTGGCTGCTTGTCCTTAGGTTTTCCTTTAAACTGTCATTACACCTATGTCAGCCTACTGTGGCAAAAAGAAAGAGAGAAATGGACGTGCATGTTTGATATTGTCTGGACAGAACGTTTGGGAAGGAGGAACAAGGTTTTTGAAGAGAAGATGTGTCTCTACTCCAGTGGAGCTGGTTTCGTTGCCTCTGAAGGGAATGGTTTCCCAGGAGAGGAAAATCTTCAGGCTGGGAGCAACATATAGATGGTCATTAGGAAAACCAGGATGATTGGAACCAAAGGGATCTGCCTCTGCTCTCCTTTTGCCCCTGTCTCCTTGTTCACTCTTGCCGGGCTGGGTAGATAAAGTCAAAGCAAGCTTCTTTCTGGGATTTTGTTTTGTTTCCCCCTTAATCACCACCCTCAGTCTTTTTTTTTAAGCTATTCATATGAAAAGTTAAGCAGACTTTTGTTTTTCCTCCTTGAAGCTCAGTCCCTAAACTCTGAAGGGCATGGTACCCCATGCTACATCTTAGTCAAGCACCTGTCATAATGGAGAAATGAAGAATTATTGCAGTCTTGTTCAGGGATCTGCCTTTTTAATATACATCACACCAGTAATGGGGTTCACCCTGAGATGACCATTTTTTTAACGCTTTGTTTTGTTTTCTATTTAGACTCTTCCATGTCTTTCGTCCTTCTCCTTGCCCCATTTTTACCCCTTTGTGTGTAAGGGTTCTTGGACCTGCGTGTGCCTTTTCTTTCCACTTTTGGTATACCCTGGTAGATGCAGCCAAGTCAGACACTCTCTTTTGTTGTAAAGTTGTAAAAAAAATACTGTGTTGTCACCAGTTTCCCTACATCTCCACAAATTCCTAACATCATCAGATTCACAGTTTAATGTATGTTGTAAACAAAATGAAGAAGAAAAAGAAGAAAGGGGGGGAAGAGTTGAAGTGTTTTACAAAGAAATAAAATGACAAGGGGAGGGAGAAAATGACTCTTGATGACAAAATAATAAAACCAGACTGTTCTACTTTATATTTGGTCTCCTGGCTCTTATTTGTTTGTTTTAAAAAAGACATAAATTAACACACCCTGCCGAATTAAAAAAAATAAAATTAGGTTGAAATAATAATATGATAAAAATACTTTTGAAAGCAGAAAAATGTTACAGTTGAAGTCTTAGTCAAAAGGAGATAAAATTGCAAGCCTCCTATTTTAAGTACTTATAATTTGCCCTGGTGGGGGAGCAGCCCTGCCCTAGGGAGGCTTAGCAGGGATAANTGTCCACCATTAAACCATCTTTCCAAGCAGCCTCCATGTTTCCAGTGTCTTTTCCCCCACTTGGAGCTGAACCCAGAAGGACATTTCTTCCAACAGAGACGTGTTACTTTTGGGGAAACCGTGGGATTGCCCCGCCTCCCCGTTGCCCAGATGGTCTTCGGCAATCAGCACTTCCTTCCATCTTGCAGGAATGCTCATTTGTGCTCTCGCCAGCCAGAAACTTGTAGATGAAGGATTGGCGCAGCATGCTTTATTCTAGCTAAAACCAGACTTGGTTGGATCCAGAGTTAGTCATGTTTAAAAGAAACTATCAGTTGAACTAAAGTTATCATGACTAACTATTTTCAACGACTTCAGTGGGCCTGAACTGGATCTAACCCATAAGTAGAAAAGTGGATTATATATAGTTACAGCTAATAAACATATAATTATAGGAGTTAAAACTTGACATGTTTGTCCCCTGTGCTGTCTCAAAATATATCTGAGCAACAGATATATTTTGAGATCAAAAATATATATCTAAGCAACACTCAAGAGATGGAAGACTGATTTTTGTTTTTAAAACTTACAAACCAAAAGATCCATTACTGCATACATATGTCCTCTAAGCATCTGGATACATTTGTAAATACACTTATTATTTCAGAGTATTGCCTTTTTAAAGAAATTAAAGTTATATTGGCCAGCAGTTATTAATATTAACAAAGTATTATAAACAGAGACAAGCCTGGGTACTCTGGATGTGGCAAACTTGTTCCATTTTATTTGTGTAGATATTTCTGCCGCCCACATATTTGTACCACAGTTTTAGGACACTGATCTGCAAAAAATAGATGTGCGATTCTTGCAAAGCAGATGGAAGCCGCTACTCCTCATTACATGCATATTATTATCCACTATTGTATACCGTGTCATTTATTCAAAAGCACAAGCTGTAGTTTGCATTTGTTTGATGGAAGAACATGTTTCCCATGCAAAGTAACACAGAGAAAAGGATACTAACAACCATCATTAGACTGATGGATTATATGAACGAATGAGCTGCAATGCTAAGTGGCAGAAACCAAAAGTGTTTGCAGGATATGTATCAAGGCTGTCATCTTGACTTTTTCATCAATCTCTGTTGACATCATTGGGCAGAAAAAAGAGCAGGATCAGTGGTGGGTTTCAAAAATTGTTTGAACCTACTCTGTGGGTGTGGCCTCCTTTGTGGGAGTGGCTTGCCGCCCATGTGACCAGATGGGAGTGGCTTGCCGCCCNGCATTTTACCTCTGCTAACGAACTGTTTGAAAATTAGCCATGCTAATTCAATCTTCTCTAAAAATTGGAGACCCCAAATTGGCTACAACTGATCCAATTACGACCACAATTCTTACGCCCAAAATTTCGGTCGCTCGGCGAGATAGTGGCTAAGTGAGTTTGCCCCATTTTACGACCTTCCTTGCCACAGCTGTTAAGCGAATCACTACAGTCATTACGTTGGCATTGAGTCTGGATGTGCCCTTGGGCCATACCAAAGTACAAACTTCCAGAAACAAATTATTACTCAAATTTGATAAAAGCAATTTAAACTGAAATTGGAATAAAACACAATTTAAACTGAAATTGGAATAAAACACAATTTAAACTGAAATTGGAATAAAACACAGTCTAAAATGAAATTGGAATAGAATACAATAATTTAAGATATGGATAAAAGTATGATAAAATTATATTTCGGTGTCACCCTTGCAAATCTACCCCAATCATTCCCACCAGTCGTTAAGTGAATAAGACAGTTGTTAAGTGAGTCTGGCTTTCCCGCTGGGTCGCAAAAGGAGAATCGCATAACCCCGGGACGCTGCAACCGTCATAAATACGAGTCATTGCCAAGGGTCTGAATTTCGATCACATGACCGCAGGGATCTGCAACGGTTGTTAAGTGTGAAAAGCAGTCATAACTTATGTCACTTTTTTCGGCACCGTTGTAACTTCAAGTGGTCGCTAAACAAAACATCGTCAGTTGAGGACTACCTGTAATTAGCTAAATGTCAAACAAAGACAGTTTTCAAGCATTGCCCACTTACCGACAGTTTCTCTACGTCCCCTTTTAATACCCGCTCCAAATACAATGGCTTGATCTTATTCTCCAGGTGGGATGGCATGTGGATGCCACATGCTGGATGTGGCAGAAGAGGATGGTCAGAAGCAGCCGTACAAGGAGCAGAGAAAATTGGCTTAATATAATCAACATAAACCATTGTAATGCTTCGTTCATGGTTTGGCGTTTAACAACTCCCATTCTTAAATAAATAAATTTAAAAATGAACTCCCAGAATTCCCCAGCCAGCCTGGTTGAAGAGGCGTGGATCTCAATTCCCAAAATTTCCCAGCCAGCATGCTTTAAGATGGGTGGGCTTCAACTCCCAGAATTCCCCATTGGTCTGACCGAGGCTTCCCGAGAGCATGAAGCAAACTCCTGATCCCGACAAAAAAAAACAAAAAACTTTTATTAAAGGGCTGTGAATTCTGCTCATTCTACCCATCATGCATCCATCCATCCATCCATCCAATTTCCCATTTGGATGGATGGATAGATGGATGGCTGGATGGACAGACTGACAGGGATTAGAGAGAGGACGGATGGATGGACAGACATTAGAGAGGATGGATGGACAGAGACAGAGAGAGGATGGATGGATAGATGGATAGACAGACATTAGAGTGGATGGATGGATGGCAGACAGATTAGAGGATGGACAGAGAGAGAGGATGGATAGATGGACAGATGGACAGGCAT